ATTTTGAGCCCATTTCACTAATTTTCTTAGTGAGATTAGCAACCAGGATATTTTCTAAGTTAATATATCATTGTTTGTACATTATGTGTGTTTCCTGGTTCATTTTATGTGGCTCGATGGTGTTTCCTGGTTCCTTTTTCGTGCCTGGTTGGTGTATCATGGTTCTTTTTTGGTTGGATGGTTGGTGCATCATGTTCATTGTTGGGTAACTGATGCTTTTGTGCTTGTTTGGGGGATTTCTGGTTGTGAGCCTGGTTGTGTTGGTGTATTTTGTGAGCTAAGTTTTCAAACGAGTTTACATTGGTGACCTTTAGAATTTTACACTATGATGATTGTCATAATATCTGAGATTAGCAACCTGCAATAACTGTTGATATTGTATTGGATGGCTAACAATGATGATATTGTATTGGATGGCTAACAATGATAATATCTGAGATTAGCAACCTGCAATATCTGAGATTAGCAACCTGCAATATGTAATCTTTTAAGCTTGTAAAGGATAAATACTGTATTGTTTTCAATCTATTATTTTATCGTAGATTTCCATTCAAAATGGTTCCTTCCATTAATTTTGTTTCTTTTTCACTTCTTTAGTTGGGTCCGACAATTGTGGAGAACAGGACATCTGACATCATCCAAGAAACACGAAACCTGCAAATTAGGAGATCAAGCTGTATATAGATTCTACCAGGATTATACTTATGTTGTTATAACAACTATATTCCTTATTAATGTCTGAAGCATGTTCTTTACGTATCACAGGGACCTGAGATACGCACAGGCTTCCTAAAGGATGGCAAGCCTGTACAACTAAAGAAGGGTGAAGAAATCACAGTGAGCACTGATTACGACCTCAAGGGCGATGGGAAAACAATTACCATGAGTTACAAGAAACTCCCTGTTGACTTAAAGCCTGGAAACTTCATTCTATATGCTGTTGGAACCATAACCCTTACCGTGCTTTCATGCGACCAAGCTGCTGGAACTGTGAGATGTTGTTGTGAGAACACTGCTATGCTTGGCGAGAGGAAAAATGTTAATTTGCTCGGAATTGTGGTTGATCTTCCGTTAATATACTGATTGTGAGTCTTAGCTTTTATTGTTCCGTTAATATTCACTTATCATGCTCCCTTCAGTTTAATACACTATGTGTTATATTGATTTTTTTTACTTACATGTTATATTGTGCTATTAGCACTTCAAAATTTACATTTCAGGATATTTTCTAAGTTAACATATCATTGTTTGTACATTATGTGTTTCCTGGTTCATTATGTGTGGCTGGATGGCGTTTCCTAGTTCATTTTTGGTGGTTGTGATGGTGTTTCGTGGTTCTTTTTTGGTTGGCTGGTTGGTGTATCATGTTCATTGTTGGGTAACTGATGCTTTTGTGCTTGTTTGGGGATTTCTGGTTGTGAGGATGCTACCCCTCCCTTCTTGTGTTATTTTTGTTACATTTGCCGTTATTTCACTTGCTTATAATAACGCATTGGTGACTTGGTTTGATTGGCTGGTTGGGTAATTTGGGTATGTACTACATAAATTTATGAATAATCAGGTTATTACAGGATTCGTGTGATTTTTTCAATCTAAAACAGTAACATTCAAACTTTTATATGATTAAGAATACCTCATATTACGAGCACAAAAAAATTTGTATATAGTGGGGGTAATCTTACCATGGTGACAATAAACACTTTAAACACAAGAAAAGTAAATAAATTGGTTTCCGACCATTTTTTATGTGCGAACCAAAGCGAAACAATCTATTTCTTAGAAAAGTTTGGAAAACTCAAAACTTGTGTTTCTGTGCATGGAAATGCATTTCCCTATATCTAGGAAACGAACCAAACAGCCCCTAAAGGTACATATCATAGCATTGAGTTTCTATCAATAGGGTTAAAAATACAGAAATACCCTCAACTTACAATTGCATTTAACATCTTCTTCCGACGATAGTTGCCCCCCAAGACCCCCTACATTTAGGGTGCATTTTGTAGAGACGGTCACGGTGATATATGTTCTCCACGTAAAGCATGCTCCATAAACAACATGAATGAGTCGCAACTGTCTAGATACCGCTGAATTGTTGAAATTGAGAAAGCCATCTCTCTACGGACAAAGTGTTCAACATAAAGGACCTAATCCATGATACATTGTACTCAAAATCTATTACTAGGTGAAAGTTAATAAGATCCACATATGCATAATTGCAATCATCCTAAGAAAAGTATGCATTGAGAACTATAATTAGTGTCTTCTCTTTGTCTGCTCCAATGGGTGGGTTGGTTCTTGATTATTTGTTGTGGATGTGAGCATATAGATACTACGTAGATGGAACAGTTAGGAGTAGATATCATAAGAGCAATGTGCAAAGCAAAATATTGTGTATGCTTGAGTTGTACACAAAGTGCATGCACCAACGAGGACATTGAAGCAAGAGAAATTAAAGCCAGGCCGAGGAAGCAAACATAGGGAGAACGAAAAACCCTCTTTTCTCCCCTTTGTTGCAGCACTCTCTCTCAATTGGCCATTTCTTTAGCAGCAAGATAGGCCAGGTGTTCCCATGAGTAGGATCAAAAATTGTTAATGACAAATAGGCTTTAGGCTATTTTATCTTTTATTTAAATAACTCAGAAGTTTTGACAAATCTAACTTGCACTTTACAAGTCTTGGTCTATTTTCTATAGTCCGAAGTTGGTTGGTTGGTTGGTTGGTCTGGGATGTTGGTTTGTTCTTTTTTTAATTTTTTTTTTCTTCCTAGTGTCTGAGGATATAGTTGATTGCATGTCTCCTAGAAGTAGCTATCATGTCTTTCTTTTGAGAGGGTCTTGCAATTTGCTTTGACACTAACACCCATTAATTTTTTCATAAAGTTTCACTAAGTCATGGGTTTTCACCCTTTCTTTTAATCCTTACATCAAAACCCATGCAGACAATGTCTCTCTTCTCCTTATGAAATCATTGCTTACACAAAGAATGCACCTTCCTTTCCAACTTTCTATTGTTTCCTTTTTCCTTAATTTGTAGATGCACACGTTAGAGGTTACACCACCAATCTAAGTTAATAATTCAACATTGGGAGCCAATTATATCCCATTACTTTCTAATCCTTCGCACATCGAAAAAATTAACGACGGAAAGAAGATTACAGTGGTCAATTGACATGTGAAGCTACCTTAATCTGACATTAAAGATTACGGTATCACATCTCCTTTAATAGCGGTAGAATTTGTTAGGTACAGGTTTAACTGGTGTGGTTCTCATGTTAAGGAAAGTGTAAGCTAGCACAAGGGCCATTTTCCCTCTGCGTATAATGACAGAAGGAAAAAAAAAGGGGGGAACAAAGAAAAGGTGTAGTTGTTGTTGTCTGTCTATTTCCAATAAGCTTGCATTCTCTGTTTCCAGTTTGGTTGGTAAGTATATTTTCAGTCTTGAGTACTTCTTGGGCTAGTGCCTAAACTGAGACTACATCAGCTGACCAGAAACCTTAGTATCCAAGAACTTGTGTGAACTAGATAGGAATATCTGTGGTTGGAGTGTCATGATCATGATCAAAACCATTAATTGTGAATCATCGTGTTCGTGTTCTAAACTAGTCGAGTCAATTTCAATCTCACTTTCAGGTGGCGAACCACACCGATGATCTGAGACGTGTGTTGCTCCGAGCGCAAGCTTGCGTCCTATTGAATACAAGGACTTGAATGTAAGATGGTGAAAGGATCGAGAAGATATCACTGATGGATACAGTCAATAGGTGTTTACCAAGCGGGGGGAAACCAATATTGTGACCAAATAAATTGCTATGTTTACATTCATGATCAGATCAAAACGCGTACAAGGGACCACCATGTAAGATGTTAGGTAACAAACAAGTGCTTAAAACTAATAGGAAACATGTGATCTTTCACTCAGCAAACTGTTCTGCATGAATTGCAACGCTAATTTATGTCTTCTGTGGTCTATACAAAAAAATAATGAGATACATGAGACGAACAATTGGGCTACTTAATTTACATTTTGTCGGCAGAATATATAGGCTCGTTAACTAAGGGCTTGTTTGGATTGAGGGGAATAAGGGTAAAGGGAAGTTAGGCGAACCATTCACCTTGTTTGGGAACAATTAGAAGGTGAAGTTATTCACTCTAGTTCCCCTTGGTTCACCCCCTAAAATTTGTTACCCCAAATTGAGGTGTAACCAAGGGGAAGGGAACTCCCTTCACTTCCCTTTCATTCTCTCACCTAGTTTCCCTTAACTTCCCTTAACCCCATTGAAATCCAAACACACCCTAAGATTAGGCTCTCCTCTCTCTTTCTCTTTCTCTTTCCATACATTAGATATAGATAGCCCCTTGAAACTACATATCCATATCTTAGCCAAGGGTCTCTGCCCC